AAAAGTCCTAAATTATTATATACTCTTATATGCATATATAATATGTAAAAACAATATTATCCATAATGACATTTATTGCACCCCTCATTGGATAAGATATATAAAAGATACTATAAGGTTGTAATAAGACAGATTTATATTATGAGAATTAATAAACATTACATGTCCTTACAATAGGGATATAAGAATTATAGCTCTTAGGAAAGTCTATAATGGTATATATTGCACCCCTCTTCTGATATGGCATAATACTTCTTCTGCTATCTTATAATCCTTAAATAAGTTAATTTACAGCTTATATCTTATCTGAATGGCTTATTATACAATATATATTTTATTTAAATATTTTATTCTTTACTAACAACGCCGAACGGTACATAATATTAACACATTATAACAGAAACAAAACTATCACTACCTTAGCAAACCACAACAACCGATAGACGTACCATGGGTATTCATCTATCTCCTCGTGCTCTTTCTTCCTCTGCTTCGCGAGTTCGCCCCAGTATTTACGTTCCTCTACAAACAGTGAATGCCGTTGGTATGAGATCGTTTTGGAGAGGTCAGCTCGACGCTGATGTCGTGCGACCAGGTCGTCTTCTGCAGGTAGTGCAGCCTCCCCCTCGTTCTTTTTCAAACAGCATTTGTGACAGAAGACAATGAATGCGTCCTTGGGTCGTTTGATGTGGTCTTAGTCACTAAGACTTAGTCGTCGCTCGGTCCCTGCAAGTTGAATTGCGTGTGCCTGTCGGTCGTAAGGTTGTACGTGTTGTGGAGGTTGAGGTTGCGCTTGTGAGAGAAGTTGTGAGACTGTCTGGCTAAAGGTGTGAGCGTGAGTATTGGCATTGACGTGAGTGGCTAACTTGAGCAAGGAGGTGGATGTATCGCGATGGCGTGTAGCGAGTGTGAGCGGTGCACCGGGGTCGTGATCGGGAGCGTTGAACGAGATGATTTGGGCTGCAGGCGAAGCTGTGTTTGTACCTGCGCGTTACATGCTCTGACTATGTCTTGCAATCGGAGGTACAGTGAACTGAGTTGTTCAAAGGTGTATCTCTGGGACGTTCTGGCTTGAAGGGAGGAGGAGAAGTGGAAGGTGTGGACAGACTCGGCTCAGGAGGGGTGAGTGGTGGGCCACTGCTTCCGTTATTCGAAACAGTGTCATGAACGGCACTAGGTAATGTAAATGCACGTCAAGCATGGAATGGTGGATGGGGAAGGAAAGTACGCGAGGGGTCGGAGAGAGGATCTCACCTTGGGAGTGGTTGTACATAGACATTGTCGCAAGCGTGTGCTCGCCGATTATTGCTTGTGCTGCAGAGCAGGAAGAAGTACGCGAATGCATAGAATTATTGAAGAAATCGTTTGGAAACAATGCGGATGCACGAATGCGAATTCAAAAAGGAAGGCGAACTAAAAGAAAAGGAGGACAACGAAGGAGAGGCAACTGCAGAGGAGCAGAAGGGAGACAAAAAAGTTGGGGAGAGAGAGATGAGCATCTATTGTAGTGCTTATTATGAAATGGACTGGCTGCTTACACTTTATGTTGAAGGCGGGAGGGGATGCTGAAGTCAGCTGTATGGTATGGTATAGTATGGCATGGTATATTACTGGCATAGGTCCCTAAAAAAGAAACGCTGGGGCTGGGTTGTGTCGTTGCAGGATCTGAGCTCAACACAGGCATTACGACGACTGATTAGAGAGACGAGTGCAGCGATGTTTATTGTCTACATAGTTGCAGGCAGCGTGCCTGCTGGCGAGCAGAGGACTGGACTGGAGGGAACAAAAGCGACGAGTGCCACCATTCACAGGGCAGAGGGTTGAGGGTAGGCAGAGGTCAAAGGCAAGCAACGAGGGCGAGTGTGGCACTCAAGATTTAAGTAAAGTCCCATGTGATATTCAACCATTACATAAGCTAAGTAACTCACTTTATATTTACTATACTATTATAATATACATTGTTAC